GGCGAGCTGAAGCACCGCTTCGGACAGGAGTACTCAAAGGGCGGCAGGTTGGCGCCCATGCTGTGCATGAATCCGTGTTTCTCGTCCTTCTGGTGGCACTCCATGCAGATGTTCAACTTCCAGGGCTCGCTTGTGCTGCAACTGCTCAGCAGTGTGGCCTCCTCGATCAGGCCCACAGCTCGGCGAATGGTCGTCGGGCCGACCGGTGTGCAGCTGACAGTGCTGGTGGTGATGAAGCTGTTCAGTAAAAGAAAATGAATGCTAACAGTGCTCAGAAGAAGGGTGATCAAAAACATTGTAGTGTATAAACTACAACAACAAAAACGAAGCAAAATGCAAACACGCAAGCATGGGCACAATCTGAGCGCCAACTGCGTAACTCTTTGTTGATGGGTGAAGTTTTAACAGTGAGCTTGAACCTTTCCAGATTCTGGGCAACACTGAACAGATTTACGTCTCAAATCACCGTCGTCACAAAGACACACTCATGCTCTGTTTGCTCACTCTGGTTTTTTCTCTTTTTCACTAACTCAATTTATTCCACAGCTCTCCACAGCACTGTCAACATATGCAAATTTAATAACCCGAATCATATCGATCCATTATTTAGTAGCCCCTTCATTCTCACTAATCTTCCTGCTGCTGTTGTTCTCAAAATAGTAAAACTCCCCTTTAGAATATAGAGTGCGAGATGGGAAAAAAGAAAAGTGAAAAGTTAATCGGCTCATTTCACGAAGGAGCACTGAGATGAAGCCGGAGCTGTGATAGACTAAAACTTGCGTGCAAGCAACTCATTGCCACCAGTGAAAAAGCACCTAAGATTAGATGTGCAAGCAAAAAGTTTGCCATTCCGCCAGAAGAGATTAAAGTGACCGACTTTACTTATGTTTGCGTAGATGTGATCACTGGTGATGTGTAGTCACATCTACGCAGACTAAGTTTTTTGTACTATTTTTTGCCAAGTTGGGAACTTTTGTTGGCCACTTTCACTTCGTAGCTTCTCCAGTGCATCGTCTCCCGTGCCTGTCCTTAAGCAGGTAATGCTGTGCTAGGGAACATTAGATGTTCTTGCTATGCAAAAGGGTGTAAACAAAACGACCTTTATCGAGTGCTATTGAGTGAGTACTTCCCAATCAATGAGGTGGTAGTTTTGCCTATTTTTATCAGCAATGCCATCACAAGTGGAGTGTGCTTCAGGATTAGGAAGTATAAAAGTGGTTCTGAGCGGTGGAGATGAGGTATAGCCTACTTTTTGTTTTGCTTAAAACAAAAACAAAATGATTCTTCTACATACAATTGTGGTTTTGCTGGTCAGTTCTCAGCTGGGCGAAGGTGCAGAGGTAAGACTACACAATTTACTCTTTTTCTGTTCCTTTTACTAAACAATCTCATCTTTACTGCAGTCCTTGTCAAAGTACAATGTGGACATCAAGGAGACGAGCGTGTCTGGCATCAGCTCTGGTGGCTACTTTGCCGTGCAGATGCAGGTCGCCTTCAGCAGCTTCATCAAGGGTGCGGGCATCGTCGCCGGAGGCCCTTATGACTGCGGAGCAGAGCACCTGGTCCTCTTCTGCATGACCATGGCTTCGCCCCTGGGCACGAGTGGACTCTCGAGAACGCGTTCCTGGTCGGGCACTAAGATTGACGACATTGCCAACATGAAACACCAGCGGGTGTACCTCATCTCCGGCTCACTGGACGTGGTCGTGCAGCGAGCGGTGGTCAATCAGCTGTACGACTACTACGTCACCAGTGGTCACCTGGTCGCAGAAGAGAATGTGCACTACAACAAGGACCTCCATTCCGGGCACACCTTCCCCACAGACTTTAGCAGTGCAGGGGACAATGCCTGCAGCAGCAGCAGTTCGCCCTTCATAAGCAACTGTGAATTTGACGGCGCCGGTGCCATACTGCGTCACATCTACGGCAACAGTCTAACCAATCGAACGGCTCACCCGGCCGGCAAGTGGATCACCTTCAAACAAACCGAGTTTGCTCCTTCTGCAACGCACATTGGCCTCGCCGAGGAGGGCTATCTCTACGTGCCAAAGAGCTGCGCATCAGGTGCCAAGTGCCGCCTGCACATCGCCTTCCACGGTTGTGCGCAGAACTACGCCACCATCGGCAGCAAGTTCCTCCTGCACACCGGCTTCGACCGGTGGGCGGACAACAACCACCTTCTGGTGCTCTTCCCCCAGACCAAAGTCGACTACCTGCTCCACTTGACGCCTGCCAACGGGTGGCTGAACAACGCCAACGGCTGCTGGGACTGGATGGGCATGTACGGTAGTGACTTCTCTACCAAAAGCGGCGTTCAGATGGCCACCATTCGCAAGATGATTGAGCGAATCACTGGACATTGAGGAAAAAAGATTTTAAAAAAGTTTATAATATTAAAAAGATCAGTGCTCTCCTGTGAGAACACAGTGCATTTTATAGCAAGGAGAGAGCAGGTGCACATCACTTGCGCGGCTTCTGCTTGGTTCCAAAGACATTGGACATTGTGCTGGGAGAGGGGCCGTTGCCGGTAGGCGAGGTGGCCGTTGATGCAGCAGCAGCAACACCGGCTCCAACAGAAGCGCCTCGGCCAGGAACGACTAGGGCGGCGGCTCCATCGACGGGCTTTCCAGTGGGGTCTATAACCACCTGATTGCTCGCCTTCTTCAGAGCACTGCCCTCTGGCTGAGGAGTGGCAGTAGTAGTAGATGGTGAGGGCGACGGCGGTGGCGGTGGTGGTCGTTGTCCGAGATTAGAGCGAGAAGCCGCCGCCGCTCCAGTTTCATCCGTGTCGGCAAACGTCTCCGCGGGCACGTTGACGGCATTGTCGACCAGTGCCTGTGCCACGTCCACCTGCAGCTGCTTGGCCATCTCTTGGGCGCCCTTGTTGCTCACCTGCAGCTTCAGCGTGTGGCCCAGCGAGTCGAGCACCTTCAACCCTAGCGTGTCCAGCGAGTTGGTCTTCACCAGCTCCATTCCGGGCAGAAGGACGCTTTCGTAGATGTAGTTGGCGCCGTTGCCCTCAATCGGCGCGTACAGCCAAAAAACGAGACCGGCCTTGGCCACCGAGTAGAAGGGCAGGCCGCCGATCATGCTGTCGGTGGCTGTCTCAAAGATCTCCAGAAAGCCAAAGACCGCCCAGTACTTCAACCAGAAGACTTTGGCCGGCTCGTTCTTGGTGGCCAGCGCGTCGATGGTGCAGAAGGCCGGGTAAAAATAGGTGGTGAAGTAGCGGATGGCCTGCGCAAAGCAGGTCACCGCACAGATGAACAGTCCAAAGATGGAGAGCAGGTGAAGGAGCAGGTTCTTGGAGAGGTGCAGCTTGACGGACGCCTGCTGCAGGGCCTGGCTCACCGGGGGCAGCTTCGCCTCGATCACCTTCTCCACTAGTTTTACCAGCTTCAGGTAGCTCTTGGGGATGAGCATCGCAAATTAGATGTCANGAGGAGCAGGTTCTTGGAGAGGTGCAGCTTGACGGACGCCTGCTGCAGGGCCTGGCTCACCGGGGGCAGCTTCGCTTCGATCACCTTCTCCACTAGTTTTACCAGCTTCAGGTAGCTCTTGGGGATGAGCATCGCAAATTAGATGTCAGTTGGCGATTTAGCAAGAAAACAGGAGATTGCAAAGCACTACTACAAACACAATTCTAATTTGAATCATAAAAACTGGCTTTTAGTTGATGAGCACAGTTAGGGCATATTGTTGGAATAATAAACAAGTTTTAGAATTTCAAATTAGGAAAGATAAGAAGATAGGCAACGCGGTAAAAAACTAGAAAAAAACAGAGACAATTTGCAAGTGATACATTTCAAAATGACTACTACCGCCTCATCATCACTGCTGATTCTAGCTCTACTGATCATCATCACTGGCCTTTTGAGCAGTAAATCGCACGGCTTCAAAGAAAGCCCTGCTCTTCGATTCTTCCAAGTGGACAACTATCTCTTTGCCGGCAATAGCACCCACTACTGGCTAGTTTTCTCCAGCCAGGCTGATGGGACAAACAGCAGCAGCAGTGGTGGGGGTGGCGCCATTCGCTTCAACATGGTCGGGCCGCATCGTCTGCTGGCTGAGAAAGAGGAAGAGGCCGCCAGTGATGCTCCTCAAACTGAAGATCATCTAAAGTTTCTCTTTGTTGCCAGTCTGCGAGAGGACTGCAGCCTGCTGGTGTTTGTCGACTCAGCACTGCACTACCGCCTGTGGCGCATTCGCCTCAACAGCAACCTAGCCGAGGCCATCGCCACCTTCAAGGCGCCCTTTCGCCTCACTAAACTCTCCTCGCCCGATGGCAGCTGTGGCCAACAGACCAACTTTAAACTGCCGCCTGAAACCGGCCACCTCTCAGCTCTGCCCTTCCTCTCTGGGGTGCTCAATAAAGAGGACACTCGCACCTCCTTGGTTTTGGTTTCTTCTGTGTTCAGCTCCGAGCACAATTCAGTGTTGCACGTCCTCTTCAGCCGCCCAGGCGACAGCGCCTCCCACTACACCAGTGTGCACCTCAACCAGTCTGCTGGTCATCAGTGGGTGTCATCGCCAGCAAGTGCCATTACTGCCCCGACCACCAGCAAACTTCTGGAGGGCCGATCAGCCACACTGTACAGTCGAGAGGGTGCACGAAAGAAGTTCATGCTGCTGCAGGACGACACGCGTGGCACCCGCGTCTGTCTGGTCACTTCGCTGGCGCCGTCGTTGGTGCTGAAGAGCACCTGCAAGAGCATCACCACCTACTACTCGCTCGACAAGCAGACGCTGCAGCAGATGAAGCTGGGCAGAGGCGTTGAGTTGGGTGATGATCACCGCCACTCCAATGGCACTGCTCCGGCTGAAAAGGTTTGCAATGATGCTGCTAATGATAGCCTCTCCTAACTGATCATTCTTCTGCACTCATTCACACAGGGAAGCAGCACTCTGCTGATCATGGTGGCCACCATTCTGGTGGCCTTCCTTCTCCTCATTCTCAGCTACATTATCATCACCAAGTTCTGCTGTCAGGCGTCCGCTGCGGTGATTCCCTACTCGGGCGTTCACCCGGTTCCCTCGCCGGGTCACTGAAACACCGGAAGGTTCGGTGACCACTTTACAATGAGATCACCACTACCATCTGCATTGATTAAATTCAAATTGTATTAAACATTTTACCCACACCTTCCACCCTCCAGTGTAGTAGTGTCCTCTGGTGAGGGCTCTCGCCGGTGTGGTGGTTCAGGTTAATCGCATCGCATTTTGTTTACAGCTGTTGTTGTTGTTAGTTGTGTCCGAAACAGAAACAGCTGCTTCAGCTGCGGTTGCCGAAGCTGAAGCTTGTAATCGCACAAACTCCAAATTTACAAACTCCCGCCATTCCGCCTTACTGACAACAACAGCAACACTTATAAATTTGAAATACTCGTTGTGATACTCCTGAAAATGCAGCTGAGCACCATAATGCCAAACAAAAAACGTTCCACCAACAGTGTGATTGATGTCCTCTTGTGGACGATAACTTTTTTACTTGTCGTGGAAGCAACCAAAGCAGATGTTGACGGCAAGAAGAAGAAAGAGGGCATTCGAATTGGTATGTGGTATTGATGTTTGAGGAGAGTTTTTCTTAAAAGATCAAATTTTCACTTTCACTTATTAGCCATCATTGGGGCCGGTGTCGGCGGTACTGGGGCAGCGTACTTTCTCAGCGAACTCCTTGACAAGAAGGACGCCGACTTTAGCTATCAAATAGACATCTTTGAGCAGTCGAGCAAAGTGGGCGGTCGAGTGGCAACGGTTAGATTCGGTGATGACGAGTACGAAGCCGGTGGCTCGATTATTCACGAGCGAAACAAGTACGCCGCAGAGCTGGTTCGCCGATTCGGTATGTGTTCAATGCCCGGTTGACAGTGGAGCTTTGCTTACATCAGCCTTTTCAACCTCCAGGTCTAAGCAGAAAGCCCGACTCGAGAAGAAGTGATAAGATGTGCATCTTCAACGGACGCGACTACGTCTTCTGCGACGACTCTTGGCAGTTTCTCACCTACTTCTCCCTCTGGTACCGGTACGGCTTTGACCCGCTTCGCATGCGGAATCGCGTTACGAAGGTGCTCGACCACTTTGAGCGCATCTACGAGATCCAGCAGAAGGAGGAGGTGGCCTTTGAGCAGGTGAGCGATCTGCTGGCGGCGATGAACCCGCTGCTGCTCAACCTGACCAAGATCCAGTACGCCGAGCTGCTGGAGACGGAGTTTGGCCTCTCCAGGCGCTTCGTGGAGGAGCTGGCGCAGGCGGTGACGCTGGTCAACTACGGCCAGACGGTGGCCATTCCCTCCTTCGTCGGCATGGTCAGCTTCGCCGGCTCCGGCGCCGAGCTGTGGTCAGTGGCGGGCGGCAACAAGCAGCTGCCCATTCATCTGGCGCAGTTCGCCAATGCTCGCCTGCTGCTGAACAGCAAGGTGGACGCCATCACCTACCTCGGTGAGCACCGCTTCCAGGTGGACTACGTCCGACTGGACACGGAGTCGGACGAGCTGAAGGACCATTCGGAGGAGTACGACTACGTGATCGTGGCCACGCCGATGACCAGCGGCAGTCACATTCGCTTCGGCAACTTCACCCGCCGCGAGGACCTGCTGAAGGGCATCTTCGAGCACTACAGCATGCACCAGACGGTGGCCACCTTTGTGCGGGGCAGTCCGCTGCCCAGCTACGCCGGCAAGGCCATTCTCAGCTGTGATATCGACAACAAGGAGGGCGGCTCCTTCTTCACCTCATTCTCGCCGCTGACACCGGTCAACGTGAGCGAACAGCAGCAGCAGGCAGGACAAGCAACAAAAGACAACAACAACAACAACAACAACAACGATGATCCGTCAGCCGCCAGTGGCAACGCTACCGGTGTCTTCAAGCTCTTCAGCAACAATCAACTGAAGACGCACGACCTCTACAGCTTCTTTGACGTCATTGAGGAGGTAAGGGAGGTAATCTGGCACGCCTACCCCGAGTACGGGCCCAACACGGTCAAGCAGCCCTTTCCGCCGTTCAAGATCCGTTCGGGCATCTACTACTTGAACGCCATCGAATGGGCTGCAAGTGCAATTGAGATGTCGTTGATCGGCGGCAAAAATGTCGCCCTTCTCGTTTGCCACGAGCTCAAACTGTGCAATAGCAAGAGAGCTATTGTTGATGAAGTGAGCTCTGGAAAGCGAAAGTTGAGTGAAGATGATTTTCCGCCCAAAAACAAGCGCTGGAAGGAACAGCAGGAGTTGTAGATGGGGATTGAAGTGACTACTTTACCTAGATTTGATAGCAATACTGTCTGAAGGTAAAAATTAACAAAACACCAAAATTGCCTTTTCGAGAATAACTGCACTAAAAGTGAGTTTGGGTGTTTAATTAGAGCAGTTCATCGCTGAGCAAACTCATCTTTAAGATCAGATCTAGAAATAGTGCATTTAGACAATTTGTACAAAAACTAAACCAAAACCAAGTGAACTTACTTGAATAAAAAAGGTTGATTGTGTATTCTGATAAATCAGGCAATTTCGTTCAAAAAGCCAAATTCGACCTGCTGAAAATGCGCCGGCATTCTCCAGTGTGCTGCACTGAATGCTCGTGCTGACGGTGGGCCGGGCTTAATATACACCGAGTACGCAGCACTTTACACTGTCATTGCACAAACATGTCCCGCCCTCAACCGTCAAAGAATCTTCGATGCATCAGGTGAACTCTGTTTTATGCCGCTATCTACTGTCAGCTGTATGCTAACAGCCGCGATCGGAGAAGCGAGATTTTTTAGACTGCATTTTGAACTAGAAAGTACAGTGAAGGTGAGGTAGTGCGCAACTGTCATTGTGCTTCAACGCAAAATATGTGATGCAAAAACTCTGCCTCTCTCTCACACACACAGCACTAGACAGCCAAATCAAAACACTGACATTTGTTTTACTTGATAAAAAATGATATGTCACAAAAACCTACCTGTCAGTACAACAATCACCAACAAAGTTACGTTCAGTCAAAAGTTCCAGTTTGATCAAGTATCCAATGGAAGGAGGCCTTTCTCTAAGACAATCGCTAAATGATTCATGTACGTGATTTCTACTTGGCTTAAAGATTTAATAACAGTTCCTCAAGACTTGGATTTCATAGCAAACAGACAGATATTTTTCATCATCTAATTAAGTAATCTTCTCAAAATTTCAGATATGTCTCACTCTGTGACCTCCTTAGACGGTGCAAATTTCGAGATCGAAGAGGGAAAAAACCACAAGTCTACTCGTCTTCTCGTAGAAAAGCATCGNAAGATTTAATAACAGTTCCTCAAGACTTGGATTTCATAGCAAACAGACAGATATTTTTCATCATCTAATTAAGTAATCTTCTCAAAATTTCAGATATGTCTCACTCTGTGACCTCCTTAGACGGTGCAAATTTCGAGATCGAAGAGGGAAAAAACCACAAGTCTACTCGTCTTCTCGTAGAAAAGCATCGAGTGGTAATGTTTTTTTGAAAACATGGTTTGTTAATTAATCACCTGTTCTGTTACAGAAAGAAGATGTTGATCCGAGCTTCTTGGATGTGATGCTCACATACAAGAATGAGAATGCACCCCCTTGCAAACTAACACTACTTGATGTGACTCGTCTATTGCCAAATCGATATATCTTTCCAGAGTTGATTCGCTTTGCATTTCACCATGCATTGAAAGAGCGTATTCAGGAGGCCACTCGCACCAGAATTGCTTTGATTGATGAAGTCAACTTTCCGCCGAATTTTGATAAAGCGACTCAAGAGGAGAAGGATAAATTTCACGAGCAATATCCGCTTCAAGGAAAGCAGTGGCTTGTGATGCCCTGTTTTTGGGAAGGCACTTCACAAAGGATGCCCCACTGGTATCTGATTATTGTCAGTAACATCCAGAAAATCATGACTCAATGTCAATCAAAAGTGGTGGAAGAGGAAGAGGAAGTAGTTGTGGCAGACGAAAATGGGATAGATACAAGAATAATGGCATAC